GCAGACCAGACAGTGAACAAAGATGGGTTTGATTCTTGAGTTAGGGAAATAGGATAACTTATTTTCTTGCAAGCAGATAAAAGCAGGGCAGAGTAGTAAAGTTCACGGAATGTTGAAATGAGCCCTGGGAAATCACAGGTCCAGTTTTTTTCCACTTCATCAGGCATCATCGACCCTGTGGACACAAAAGGCTCAATTCTTCACTGGGAGTCACTTTAGAATAGAACACTGTGCTTAGGACTCATTTTTAATTACTTGGCCAAGTCACTTTTCCCAACTTTTGTTTTTTGTTTTATCTACTGTAGGGTCATCAAGGTGAAGGAGAAAGTAGTAAAGACATCTCCCAGCATGAAATCTGACAGCAAACCTATATCCAGAGGGCAGATATAGGTTTCAGAAGTGGGTTAGTGGCATTTCCCAAGGTGTAGTGGCATTTCAATTGTATTTTAATAGACAGCCTGAAGATCTGAGAGTAAAACAGTCCCACTGGTCAGCCTTACAGACCAGGTTATGGTGACACACACCTTTAATCCCAGCCGCACTAGTTGCCATTTAAATCAGTTGGTACACGACTTTAATCACGGTGGTGCACACCTTTAATCCTAGAGAAGATTATAGAATGGGAGGAACCACTCAAAACACAGTCTCATTCTAAGATTCCTAAAGACACGACCACCATTTCAGTCTGAGGTCGAGGTAAGAGCCAGTGGCTGACTGCTGTGCTTTTTGGATCTTCAGGATGAACCCCAAATTCTGACCCTGAACTTGTATTAGTCGTGCTTCATCGAGGTACCTTCAGGAAAATGAGTGAGCATCTGGAAATCTTGTAGGGATAAGGGTGGAATCTCGAACAGTGATCAGAGGGAGGATTTGGTCCAGAACCAGGGAGATAGAAAGTAGAGAGACAAGAATGGTCGCCAAGCCTAAAGTATCAGAGCATCATAAGAAAAGCCCCGACCTGCTTGGGTTTAACCAGGTGAAGTTGGACAAGACTACTTACTGACTTAAGGTATTCTTTGCAAAGTTGCATGTATTCTGTATAGCCAATACTAGCCTGACCTGCATCAGTAATTGTTAGCTGTTGACCAAAACAGGGAGAGACTGAATGTGGGATTCCCCTCCGTATGCTGTGAATATTATTGGTTAATAAAGGAACTGCTTTGGGCCTACAGCAGAGCTATAGAGGAGCAGAGCTCGGTGGGGAAAACTAAATGGATTGCTGGGAGAAAGAAGGACAGAGTCAGAAAGAAGCCATGGAGCCCTGCCAGGGACCAGACACCAGAACTTTAGCTGGTAAGCCACAGCCACGTGGCAATACACAGATTAATAGAAATGGGTTAAATTAAGATGTAAGAGTTAGCCAATAAGAAGCTAGTGCTAATGGATTAAGCAGTGATTAAATTAAAACAGTTTCTGTGTGATTATTTCGGGGTTAACTAGCAGCCCCCTTGCAACAACTGAACATGGTCCTCAGTTGTCCTCTCATCGATGAGTGATTTCTATACATGATGGCAAGAAGCGCTTCTTACAAGAAATGAGTTTCACTTCATTTTGTGTTGCTTTGCTGCATGGACTACTTTTTCTTAAAAAGCACAAGACTCTGGCATAAGGAAATAAGCTGGAAGAAAAATCAAAACGAAGAGCTTCATCCTGCACAGTGAGTCACCATCCACTGCTTCCCTTGGGAGTTGCCACATGAGCCAGCGGAAGAAAACCACACTGCAAAGGAGCCTCAGAAAGCAAGGTGTGATGTGAGCTGCAGGTGAGCGAGTTTGGCAGTCACACCGCGAACTACATCCCATTCTCCAGCACACCCAGAGAAACAGAAGACCCAAGAGCTGTCTGTCGGGCAGCAGCGAACGGGAAATCTTCCCTGACAGAAGGCGCCATTTCTAGGAGAGATGGGGGCGTGCATTTCAAGACATAATCCAGGCTCCTTCATGATCTAGCTCTTATTTGTCCTGAAAGAATTTGCTCATCCAGCAAATATTTATTCAGATTTGACAGAGCGAGGTGCTGAGAAAGTAGTAAGCAAAAGTAGACACGTCCCTTATGTCATGCCACAGGAATCCAGCATCAGGACGTAACATGAATGGACTCAAAATAGTGCACCAAAGGAGAATACAAATGGCTGGTACTTTCAGAGCAGGAAGGAGGGAGGTTTGACTCATAGAGACACTCATGCAAGCAACTCCCAAGTCCATAGCTGGAATCTGAAGGAAAAGCTGGTGAACAGTCGGAAAGGGGGCTCTCAGTGTCCCCTCTCTGTCTCTTAACCCTGCCCCTCATGGCTGGGATCTCAGAGTGTGGTTCTACCCTCTGAATGATTGCTCTGGAGATTCCCCCACCCCCAGGCTCTCTTTATCACCTACCATCTACTAGCCTTTCCCAGCTCAACTTGCAGGAGACTCTTTCCCTTCAACCCCTCTTGAGCCACAGAGAAATACTTCCCAACGCGATGCAGTTGCCTCTGAGGTTTAACTTCATAAGTTAGCACCTGTCCTGTTGGACTGTGAGCTCCCTGAGAACTGGAATCAACCTTATTCTTTGTGATCCCAGCATTTTTCATAGTACAGGAATCTATGAACAATAAGTATTAGTGAGAGAAAGAAAAAAAAAATAAGAGTTACGTGTCTTGACGGTGGGAGTAACCATGAACGCTAGTATTTGAATGCTACTCTCTGTATGCTAAGGGCTGCTATAAGCATTTGATTACTCTTATCAACCAGCCTAAATGGCGGATGTTAACCTCTCTCTTACAGGTGTTGTTTAAGCTTTTAATTCTAATCTGTCAATTGCAGATGTTAATAAAATCTAATTTTGAAAATGAGAACTATAGAAAGGGTTTTGGTTTGACTATAAAATGTCTCCCACTGGTTCACGTATTAAAGCCTTGGTCCCCCACTGGTGGTACTAGCTGGGAAAATTCAGGGTACAGTGGGAAGCGAGGTCTCCCTGAAGGAAGCAGGCAGCTAAGGTCACACCTATGAAGTTTATAAGGTCCTCAGTCCCCTCCTCTCTGCCTTCTGCCGCCTGGGAAATGAAGACGTTCTTCAATGGCATACCTGGCTACCATGGTGCTCTACCCAAGGTCATGGAGTCAAGCAAACGTGGACCAAACCCTCAGATATCTACAAGCTAAAATAAATATTCCCTCTTACGAGTTGCTTATGGCAGTCACTTTATCACGAATCCAGCAAAGGAAATGCATGCATAGCAAGTCTGGACTGAAGACTGCACGCTACATGACGACATGCAAGAGCAAAGGTGGGAGCCCCAAGTCCTGGGTCAAAGACTCCACTTTTTAGGGAAAGAAAAATGACAATGAGCCTACCCTGAAGATGGCCATTAGAGCACAACACAGTCTTGGTGTGACCTCCACTTTGAGAGCAGCGGCAGGTTTTTTTTTCCTTGGCCTGACACCCTACAGTCCTTAGAGGCCCTCAGCTATGGGTCACAGCCAGGCAGGATGTGCAAGCGGCCGAAGGGCCCCACATGTGCTCTCTGTGCAAACAACTTTCCCTAGGCTTTGGAAGATTCACAGCAGCAATCGCTGTGTGCAGAGCCTATCAGCGGGTCCCAGCCTTGCGACACTGACACAAGATGTTGTCATCTACGCAGCTCCACAGGCCGCGGGTTGGAACGCCTGTGAGAGAAGGACAGTCTGGAAATGTAAAACATGATATAGTGATAAACACCCGCAGCTGAAGCCCATCGCTCTTGTTTAACAGATGCTGCCGCTCCCGATTTTAACGGGTCTTTAGGTTTTCCTGAGCCTTAGCTTTGATGCAGTACTTGTTACTTTTCTGTTGCTATTATAAAACACCGTGACCAAGGCAACTTAAGGAAAAAAGGGTTCAAAACCAGAAAAAATAAGAAACTATAAAATGAAGAACGTGTCGAAGACTACCTCCAGGGAAATTCTTTTTCTCCAGCAAGACTGTACCTCCTAAGCTTCCCCCAAACAGCGCCACCCACCACCCTGGAACCAAGTATTCTGATACCTGAACCTGTGGAGGACATTTCTTATTCAGCCGCCATAGTCAATCTAGTCAATCACAGGTAGGGATGGTATAATCCACCATTCTCCAATAGTATGCATTCCATCCCACATACTGGCTAATTATCAGCATTTGAAAAGCAGGAATAAAGATGATATCTGCATCCAGGGAATGACATTTAAAAGGGTTCGACTGCAAATTCCAGAGCACTGGGTTGTTAACAGAGATCATAAACAAGGCATAAAATATTTGTGAAGCCTGCTGCTTCATTCTGTGATGCTCCAGGAGATACAAGTTGATTGAATCAAGCCCTTATTCCCAGGAGAGCCGTGCTTAGAAAGAAATTCATTCTTTTCCCTGGCAGTGGGAGTAAAGGCATTGGGGACAGGGGAAAGGCCTTGGCCTGCACAGCATCCAAGCTCCTGGCACTTGGCCCTCCCTAGGGGGGTATCTGGTCTCCTAACCCCAGCCATCAGCTCAGAGCTTGCCCAGACTGCCTGGCCCAGGGCTCTAGGGACAGACATACGGGATAATTTCCAAATCTTCAAAATAAGCAAGCAAGGGACTGTCACAACAGGCACAGTGTCCCGAGTGAAGAAGGGAAGTGGTGTTGATGGAGGAAGTTGCCAGGGACTCAGGAAGGAAAATCACTGGGTGCTGAGGTGGCCTGATGGATTCCAATGCTCTGATTGCCACGCAGACAGGCCCATTGCTCTTAAGCTCCTTCTTGCCTCATTTCCCTTTTCTCTCTGAAAAGATATGAAGTTAGTAAGGGGTGGAAGTCTTCTTGTTCAAATATGATTCAGGAGGAAGCTTAGCCACAGAACAGGAGAGGACTAATTACCGCCTTAGAGAAGAACTTGTAGCAACAGGTCCCAGATAGATCCACCCCAGATTTTTCAAAGAAGGCAACTCCTTCATCATGTATTGTCAAGAACTTCCAAGTGCAGGAAGAAGCCATCGGCTTCCACTCTGATCACCTGACTCGAGGTACCCAGCAGGCTCCCTGTGAGTAAACCGGATGCTTCAGTACAAGATGGCCCACAGGAGTAACACAGGACCTGTCCGAGGGCTGAAACTTGTGACTCTTCTATTTGCCCTAAGTCCAGAACTGCTTCTCCCAGGAGCCGGAGTGAAGCTTCAAGGCAATGGCTACGACGGATTGCTTGTTGCGATTAATCCTCAGGTACCCGAGAATCTGAGCCTGATTGCAAACATTAAGGTGAGTGTCAATTATACAGTCAATACCATTAGCCCATTAGTTCAGACCTCTTGCCGTGTTTAGGAAGTTAACCCCACCAGGTTTGAACCTGAGCAGTACAGAGACCAGTATTTCTTGAAGACAGCACAGACTGCAGGACTGTGAGTATTCTGGCCAGATCACATAGTCGGGGAGAGTCTCCCCTCATAGAGCCCTCTTCTGTCTTTCTATTAATCACCATCTGTGAGCTGCAGGGTATAATTGTAGTTTTTATATGTGACTCTCCTGGAGAACGGCTTAGAGAAACCAAAGTTGGCGATGGTGAAAGCAAACCGGATGGCTGAATGACAGAGGAGCATGGGGGCGTGTGTTAAGATCATCCTGTGGTGTCTCATTTCAAGAAGGAGAATTACCGGGGAAGAATTAACAAGAGTCTACGCAGACTGCCAGAGAGAAATCCCTTGTTTCCTCTCGATGTTCTCTGAAATATTGACAGTTTTTACTGTAGCATGGTAAGGAAGATTCGTTACCTAAGAGCCTCTTTGTTAAGTTATTGCTTAAAGTGAAAGTAATATCCTCAGAAGGTGCAGGCCCGGACATGCCCATAGGTGTGACCTCAGGATGTGTTCAGTGAAAGCTTAAAACCCTTTCAGAAACTTGGGGAAATCGTGAGGGCAAGTTCTGACATACAACCAGTGTACTAACAATCTCTTACAGGTCACCATTCAATGTCTTTTCCAAGAAAACCTTCAGGGCTTCATTCAGAATCTGTTTATGTGTTTTTCACTGTGGTTTATGTGTCTTCAGAGAAACAGGGATTTGTATACACGTGCCAGTGTTTCTGCTTTGTTATAGGAGATGCTAACTGAAGCTTCCTTTTACCTGTTCAACGCTACCAAGAGAAGAGTGTTTTTCAGAACTATCCAGATTTTAATTCCTGCCACTTGGACAGCTCGTAATTATAGCAAAGTCAAACAAGAATCCTATGAAAAGGTAAGGATTTGGGATTCTCTTAGAAGAGCCTAATTCAAGTTGAGGGAGAATAACTTTCCAAATCTACTTTGCCATTTATACTGGGACAGAGCTATGTTACTGCAAGGTCTGTTGTTGAGAAAATGTGTAGACTTTATCCCAATCCCATAGACCTCTATAAATGATTATGAGAAAGAAAAATGGAAACAGTAATTGCGAATTATTCAGTCACAAACAAAGCCATGTGCCACTGTTCAATCTGCTTCTCAGGACATCTCTATTCTGTAATGTACAAGATCCTGGTTCAGGTTTTTTTTTTTTTTTTTTTTTTTTTTTTTGATTTTTCGAGACAGGGTTTCTCCATAGCTTTTTTGGTTCCTGTCCTGGAACTAGCTCTTGTAGCCCAGGCTGGCCTCGAACTCAGAGATCTGCCTGCCTCTGCCTCCCCAGTGCTGGGATTAAAGGTGTGCACCACCACCGCCTGGCTCCTGGCTCAGTTTTTAATAGAGGAAAGAGTCAGGTTTATCAGCCTAATCCAGCTCTGGTAATTTTCACTTGCATTGGTTAGGAAAAGTCAAGGCAATGCTGAGAGCCATCCATACGGGTAAAAATGCAACTATGGAGTAAAGGAGCATGCTTTCGCCCTTAACTAAGGCCGGCATGCCGATTCAAAGGAGAATGGAGAGAGATGAGCAAGAATAAGGGGCAAGTGGTTCCATCTTCTTTTCTAACCGCAAAATATCTTAACCTTGAAGAACACTAGTAAACTGCAGGTGATATGCAAATATTCACTGGTGTGCACCCATAAATAAATACATGCTAGAGCATTTGAAACCACTGTGACTAAGAGTCCATTGCATATGAGAGAAGAGCTAGGAACATACACGGAGAAGAACATGGGGCTTCGGCAACAGAGTAGTGGGCTTGCTGTCTGTAACTATAGCGCCATCGGGGTAGCTAGGGCATGGAAAACGTGTCTTTAAAAACTGTGTCACTTGGCTTAAATTTCCTTGGATTGTTTTTTAGCTCTCCCTTGAAGGTTCTCTTAGAAATTGAATGGCCTAGCAATATAGACTGTAGCCCAAAGGCATGAAGCCGCTGAGAGGTTTACAAAAGCATCTGGGTTTTCATCACACAGAAGCATTTGACAGTGCTTGCGTGAAGATAAACAGGGAACTGGGAATAAACTGGAAAAACCTAAAGTTTATTAAACTTCTATTAAGTACTTTCAATTTGGGCGTGTGTGTGTGTGTGTGTGTGTGTGTGTACGTGTCTATAATTTAATGTCTATGCAACCTCAAGTTAGTTACTATTATCAAAAATTAATAATTATGTTCGCAAAGGGTAAGGACTTTGTTTCATGCAAATAAGTAATAATTACTGACCCAGAGTTTGAATATCTATTCAACTTCAAAACCCATACTGTTTACACCAAGCTACGCAGACTCTATAAAGATTACATTAGTGAACTTGCCTTTCAGTCCTACTGAGAAGTTATTGGTGGTACCCTGATCCTATGAAAGGTTTAAGTTCAGCATATGTAATATCATCAGATGTCTTGGATACAATTTTCCTTAACATCATAATGTCAGTTAAGCACAATTTAGTGGATGATACTGATCTACCTGGCTATGGAAATGAATGATGGCTACAGTATTTTATACTCAGTACAGAGGAGGCCTCGCAGGCACTGTCCTGCTGCCCTCGCTGATAGAGTAGCCATGGAGACTTGGCTGAAACTGTCACAGCTCTTCACTGTGCAGTCCTAGGTGATGTGCAAATACTATTACATGTTCCCAACTTTATGGCTTTTATAGTGCCATAATATCATAATTTTACAGTGTTGATGTCTGAGAATATTTTGCTCTGGAAAATGGGAGGGTAATAAAGGAGGGAAAGAAGTTTCATGGAAACTGGTTAAATTTTAAAGATCTTTCTGAAAGTGTCAACAAATTCAGCTAATGTTTAGCTCTCAGAATATCTTAACTCTTAAATTCAAGGCCCTCCTTCTGCCTTTAACCTGTTGTAAAATCGTGCATAATTACATACAACAAAATTGTAGCTTAAATTTGTTCTATTTTAGGCAAATGTCATAGTGACTGAGCAGAATGGGGTACATGGGGATGATCCATATACCCTACAGCACAGAGGGTGTGGAAAAGAGGGGAAATACATCCATTTCACTCCGAACTTCCTACTAAATGATGAGCTAATAGCAGGATACGGCTCAAGAGGTAAGTTCAGATGATAAAAACCCAGCCCCTCAAAAGTACAGTAGCTTGTGTTTGGTACATAAGAGACCTCATAAAACGTTCCACCTGTCAGGAGGCAGGCCAAGTGCACAAGGAAGGAAAGGGACGGAATGAGCCAGGAAGACCAAGAACCAGCTAAGGTGTAGAGTAGCGCTCTGAGAATCCAGGGGAGACAACTAAGCCTAGGGTTGTCGGGAGATGTCTCACAGAGGAGAGCTGAGCCACACTTTGCTTAGTGGAAAGGAGAGTATCAGGAAGCGTGTGAAAAATACGGAATCTGCACAGGGACCCAATGCTGTTGAGGGAAGAATTAGACCCACGGACAGGACATGAAGGGAAATGCCAACGTGTCCCCTGCAGTCCACACCATGAAGTCCCCACTGAAGGCTCACGTGTGTGGGAACAACAGAACCATATAGCTTTCAGAAGGTGGATCTGTCCGTGTGCGTAAGTGGGCTTGCTAGGATCAATGAAGGAGAAGCTGGATGTGGAAGGATACATCAGAACCCTGCAGGGGTGGGATCAGGAGGCGTGAGTTGGGTATCAAGGATGAAAGGACCCGAATCCAGAATACAGGCAACAAGGATTTCCCATGCCCAGAAATCCAATTTCATTTAAAGTATTTTCTTATGAAATCGGAGTGGTCCAAAATGCTGAGTAGCCCAGAAAGGAGTTCCGGCTGGCTGGCTGCAGAGGAAAAACAAGAGCTGTGTGCAGACGACGTTAAGAACAAGGACTACTTTGGGAAATAGGGGCACCAGGGGAGAGGGGAAGTCATTGGTCTGGGTTAGGCAAGAAGATGGTGGGGAGCAGGGGAGCATCCTATAGATGACTGGCTATGGTCAGATATTGGTGTATGACACTTAGAAGAAAGGTCACAGTCACCAGCCTGCAGACTGGTAGACCGTGGGTGAGGTCTACCAGTCTGAGAGAGATACAAGTGAGAACAGGTCAGCCAGCCCAGTGCTCGCTCTAATCTGCAATTTTATTTTTGGTTAAATTTTAAATAGGGGGCCAGGCAGTGGTGACATATGCCTTTAATTCCAACACTCAGGAGGCAGAGACAGGTAGATCTCTGTGGGTTTGAGACCAGCCTGGTCTCCAAGAGCTAGTTCCAGGACAGGCTCAAAAAGAAAATTATGTAGGGCCCTTCAAAGATTTTTACTTTTTATGAAATTTAAAACTAAGTAGACTTTGTTATTCCTGCTTAGAAAGCAGGAGATAAAGCAATATACCATAGGATATTTTATAAAATTCTTAAACGTTGGATTTCCCTCTATCTGGTAACTAACCATGAAGCTGGTGTTCTCTGGTCCTGCCTAAGACTTCGTCAGTGTCTCTAGATTCATGAGTCGACAGATACGTTCCCTGTTCCTCTCAGCTGTGGCTCTTTCCTCCCTAGATGCAAACATTGCACAAAGAGCCCCAGCCTGAGTCTCACAGCAGGCAGTCCCCGAGTTACAGGACCTAAATTAATTCAGGCAAAGGGAACAGGTGCTTTGGTTTGGGAAGGGCATTGACCTGCAAAGTTTCCATGGAGAACAATTAACTTCTGAGCTGAAGTTGGAAGGAAAGGAGATCTAAGATTAGAGAGGACAAGATAAATCTGTGAAGGATTTGATGTTAAGAATGAGAATTTCCAAGAGCATGGGTTAGGAAACAGGATCAAAGAGAACGGAGCATCAAGGCTGGAGAGGGATGCTGTGATCTTTTCAGTTCCTTCCTTCTTCCCTGGTTGCTAGGTTGCAGTCACTGATGTAGACAGGACAATGCCCACAAGAGAACAAGCATGCTTAGGCACAGACTAAACTTAGAAAAGTTATTGAATTGCGAAGATGTGCGTCTTCCCTCTAAGTCCTGAACCTACTGGGCTGCATGCAAGAAGCTAAGGAAAAACTTGTTAGACAACTTCAGGGAGAAAGAGGATGTGGGAATCCTTGTCTCTTCATCAAATGGGCACTACCTCACGGTCATGGGAGCAATCATTTTCATGCTCTCATTTCTATGATGGTAGAGGATGAGGTAGGTAAGAGTGAGGAAAATGACCAAAATTGTGAGTTCAAGTGTTTGGAGCAAGAATGTAGTCAGGCAATACTACATTGATGTTGATTAGCAAGGCCCGTTGCTGAGACTTTAGGGGCTCAAAGGGCCACAACTCTCTCTTCCACAGGCAGAGTGTTTGTCCATGAATGGGCCCATCTCCGCTGGGGAGTGTTTGATGAATATAGCAAGGACAAGCCATTCTACCTGAATGGGCGAAATGAAATTCAAGTCACAAGGTCAGTGCTTTCATATTTAAAATTCACTGCTTGTAAATGAGTTTTGCTGTCCTGCCCTGCTCCATCTTGTCCCATAGTAACTTCTAAATAATCACTTAGAGGTTTAATACTACAAATTGTTTTGGCCTATGCTTCAGGCTTATTACTAAGTAGCTCTTACATTTAAATTAACCCATTTCTATTAATCTCTGTGTTGCCATGTGGCCATGGCGCTACAGATCTGCTGGCATCTTGCCTCTTCAGAGGCTGGCTGGCATCTCCCCCAGACTCCGCCCTTCTCCTCTCTGTATTTTCAGTTTGGCTTTCCCACCTGGCCTTCTTCTGTCTTGCTATAAGGCAAAAAGCAGCTTCATTACTAACCTATGAGAGGAATACATATTCAGAACATATAGAAGGGGTATCTCATAGCACTGCTGATTGAGTGCACTGAATATTTAAAAAACTAGGAAGGTTTTAGAATATTTTTCACGGCAAGTGGCTAGACACATTGACACATGCTGCTATAATCTCAGTACTAGGGAGACAGAGGCACAAGGTGCCATAAATAAAGGCCAGCCTGGTCCACACTGTGAGTTCTAGATCAGCCGGAACCACATAGAGAAACTTTGTCTCAAAAGGCTAAAAAAAAATCAGGTGACAAATAAGAAAATAGAATTTTTTGTCTTGACTTATAATATGACATAAAAATAAGAAATAAAAATAGATTAAGTACAAGTAAATATTAGCAAGTAAAATAAATTATTCTGTTTTATTTTTAATTTTCATTGAGTTTTAAAATGGGCAAGTATTTATGTGATTCAAATATGAACAATGAGGAAGTTGTGTCCTTCACTATCTTACTGACCACCATCTTCATTCTGCTTCCTCTATGAACTATAAAAAGTTATATTCTTCACTGTTTGACCACTGTCTTCTTTCTGCCTCCTATTATCACCTTTGAATAACAATATTGATTCATTTCTTATATATTTTGCCTCATCAAGAAAATTTAAATAAATAGGAATATATATTTTACTCACCCTTTTAAAAATCATTACACAGTGTCCCATTGTGTTTTAATGCCATAACACATTCAATTAGCCCCTCCTGTTGGACATAGTGATTAATAGCAACCTTTTGTGGTTTTAAATATCACTTGCTGATCATAGCATCATACACATGCTACTTCAGATTTGTGCATGGAAATCCATATACCTAAAAGAACTCCCAAGAATTCTAGAGCAGAGAGCATCCTCACTAGTAGACAGACAGACATCATCAGTATTGCTTCTAAACGGCACCATTTCTCACTCACATAGCAATGTTCAGAATTTTTTAATGAAGATGGAGTCTTTCCAAAGTTCACTCTCTTTCCCTGATGTCCAGTGGAGCCCAGGATGTTGCTGCCCCTGTCTTCCTTATCCCACAGTCCCTCTGAGCTCCCTTCCACTTTGTCCCACTCTGTTCACTAAAGGTTTTGACAATACAGAACTCCATCACCCAAACTCAAGGGCTTTAAAATGAAAGAGAGAGACTATGTTTCTAAGCTAATAAACTTCCTTAAGAGAAGACTCTAAAATGTTTGCATATGTCCACCGAGCTATAATCCTTGAAACAAGCTATTAGAAAAGATAATCAAGAAAGAAAAGTATTTCTAAAAATACCCAATTCCTAGTTTCCCCTTCCATTTTTTAGGTGTTCATCTGGCATCACTGGGGTGTTTGTGTGTGAAAAGGGCCTTTGTCCCCATGAAGACTGCATCATTAGCAAGCTCTTCAGAGAAGGATGCACATTCCTCTACAACAGCACCCAGAATGCAACTGCATCGATAATGTTCATGCAGAGTTTGCCTTCTGTAAGTACGTCCTTGGAATGACAAACTCCTATAGGCTGCCACGTCTTTCTAAGATACACAGATCTGTTGGAGGGAGGCTGCTTGTTGGTTCCCGGCCACCCAGCTAGCTTAGACCAGAAATAATCACACAAAACCCATATTATTTAAATCACTGCTTGGCCCATTAGCTCTTGCTTCTTATTGGCTAACTCTTACATATTAATTTAACCCATTTCTTTTTTTTTTTTTTTTTTTTTTTTTTTTTTTTTTTTTTTTT